TCGGACATCGAATTAGTCTATGTGACTTTTTGCAGATTTTTAATAGGCCAAATAAAAATTTTCATTTTCCCACCTGAGACTTCAGTACGATATAGTCACCGAGCTATCTTCGGACGGCAGAAAGAGCCAGGAAACGGCATAAATTCACGCGAATTATCACTTTTCCCGTAGAAAATGACATGCTGAATCGAATGAGACCACGATCAGCCCGATAGGATGGATAGTTTTCGAGATATCGGCGCTCAAAGTCAGCTTTCCGCTTTCATTGCCAATAGGTGCACTCCGGTAGGCTACTACGTCTCAATTATCCGAGATTTCCTAATTTTCACCACAGATTCGTTCATTTCGACATCAAATTAGTCTATTTGAATTTTTTCAGATTTTTAATAGGCCAAATAAAAGTTTTCATTTTCCTACCTGAGACTTCAGTACGATATAGTCACCGAGCTATCTTCGGACGGCAGAAAGTGCCAGAAGACGGCGGAAATTCACGCGAATTATCGCTTTTCCAGTAGAAAATGACACGCTGAATCGAATGAGACCACGATCAGCCCGATAGGACAGATAGTTTTCGAGATATCGACGCTCAAAGTCAGCTTTCCGATTTAATTGCCAATAGGTGCACTCCGGTAGGCTACTACGTCTCCATTTCCCAAAATTTCCAAATTTTCACCACAGATTCGTTTTTCGACATCGAATTAGTCTATTTGAATTTTTTCAGATTTTTAATAAGCCAAATAAAAATTTTCATTTTCCTACCTAAGACTTCAGTACGATATAGTCACCGAGCTATCTTCGGACGGCCGAAAGTGCCAGAAAACGGCGGAAATTCACGCGAATTATCGCTTTTCCAGTAGAAAATGACACGCTGAATCGAATGAGACTACGATCAGCCCGATAGGACAGATAGTTTTCGAGATATCGACGCTCAAAGTCAGCTTTCCGATTTAATTGCCAATAGGTGCACTCCGGTAGGCTACTACGTCTCCATTTCCCAAAATTTCCAAATTTCCACCACAGATTCGTTCTTTTCGACATCGAATTAGTCTATTTGAATTTTTCCAGATTTTTAATAAGCCAAATAAAAATTTTCATTTTCCTACCTAAGACTTCAGTACGATATAGTCACCGAGCTATCTTCGGACGGCAGAAAGTGCCAGAAAACGGCGGAAATTCACGCGAATCATCGCTTTTCCAGTAGGAAATGACACGCTGAATCGAATGAGACCACGATCAGCCCGATAGGACGGATAGTTTTCGAGATATCGGCGCTCAAAGTCAGCTTTCCGATTTCATTGCCAATCGGTGCACTCCGGTAGGCTACTACGTCTCAATTATTCAAAGTTTCCAAATGTTCACCACAGATTCTTTCATTTCGACATCGAATTAGTTTATGTAAATTTTTTCAGATTTTTAATAGGCCAAATAAAAATTTTCATTTTCCCACCTGAGACTTCAGTACGATATAGTCACCGAGCTATCTTCGGACGGCAGAAAGTGCCAGGAAACGGCAGAAATTCACGCGAATTATCGCTTTTCCAGTAGAAAATGACACGCTGAATCGAATGAGACCACGATCAGCCCGATAGGACGGATGTTTACGAGATATCGGCGCTCAAAGTCAGCTTTCCGCTTTCATTGGCAATAGGTGCACTCCGGTAGGCTACTACGTCTCAATTATCTGAGATTTCCTAATTCTCACTACAGATTCGTTCATTTCGACATCAAATTAGTCTATTTGAATTTTTTCAGAATTTTAATAGGCCAAATAAAAATTTTCATTTTCCTACCTAAGACTTCAGTACGATATAGTCACCGAGCTATCTTCGGACGGCCGAAAGTGCCAGAAAACGGCGGAAATTCACGCGAATTATTGCTTTTCCAGTAGAAAATGACACGCTGAATCGAATGAGACTACGATCAGCCCGATAGGACAGATAGTTTTCGAGATATCGACGCTCAAAGTCAGCTTTCCGATTTAATTGCCAATAGGTGCACTCCGGTAGGCTACTACGTCTCCATTTCCCAAAATTTCCAAATTTCCACCACAGATTCGTTCTTTTCGACATCGAATTAGTCTATTTGAATTTTTTCAGATTTTTAATGAGCCAAATAAAAATTTTCATTTTCCTACTTAATACTTCAGTACGATATAGTCACCGAGCTATCTTCGGACGGCCGAAAGTGCCAGAAAACGGCGGAAATTCACGCGAATTATCGCTTTTCCAGTAGAAAATGACACGCTGAATCGAATGAGACTACGATCAGCCCGATAGGACAGATAGTTTTCGAGATATCGACGCTCAAAGTCAGCTTTCCGATTTAATTGCCAATAGGTGCACTCCGGTAGGCTACTACGTCTCCATTTCCCAAAATTTCCAAATTTCCACCACAGATTCGTTATTTCGACATCGAATTAGTCTATTTGAATTTTTTCAGATTTTTAATAAGCCAAATAAAAATTTTCATTTTCCTACTTAATACTTCAGTACGATATAGTCACCGAGCTATCTTCGGACGGCCGAAAGTGCCAGAAAACGGCGGAAATTCACGCGAATTATCGCTTTTCCAGTAGAAAATGACACGCTGAATCGAATGAGACTACGATCAGCCCGATAGGACAGATAGTTTTCGAGATATCGACGCTCAAAGTCAGCTTTCCGATTTAATTGCCAATAGGTGCACTCCGGTAGGCTACTACGTCTCCATTTCCCAAAATTTCCAAATTTCCACCACAGATTCGTTCTTTTCGACATCGAATTAGTCTATTTGAATTTTTTCAGATTTTTAATAAGCCAAATAAAAATTTTCATTTTCCTACTTAATACTTCAGTACGATATAGTCACCGAGCTATCTTCGGACGGCCGAAAGTGCCAGAAAACGGCGGAAATTCACGCGAATTATCGCTTTTCCAGTAGAAAATGACACGCTGAATCGAATGAGACTACGATCAGCCCGATAGGACAGATAGTTTTCGAGATATCGACGCTCAAAGTCAGCTTTCCGATTTAATTGCCAATAGGTGCACTCCGGTAGGCTACTACGTCTCCATTTCCCAAAATTTCCAAATTTCCACCACAGATTCGTTTTTTTCGACATCGAATTAGTCTATTTGAATTTTTTCAGATTTTTAATAAGCCAAATAAAAATTTTCATTTTCCTACTTAATACTTCAGTACGATATAGTCACCGAGCTATCTTCGGACGGCCGAAAGTGCCAGAAAACGGCGGAAATTCACGCGAATTATCGCTTTTCCAGTAGAAAATGACACGCTGAATCGAATGAGACTACGATCAGCCCGATAGGACGGATAGTTTTCGAGATATCGGCGCTCAAAGTAAGCTTTCCGATTTCATTGCCAATCGGTGCACTCCGGTAGGCTACTACGTCTCCATTTCCCAAAATTTCCAAATTTCCACCACAGATTCGTTCTTTTCGACATCGAATTAGTCTATTTGAATTTTTCCAGATTTTTAATAAGCCAAATAAAAATTTTCATTTTCCTACCTAAGACTTCAGTACGATATAGTCACCGAGCTATCTTCGGACGGCAGAAAGTGCCAGGAAACGGCAGAAATTCATGCGAATTATCGCTTTTCCAGTAGAAAATGACACGCTGAATCGAATGAGACCACGATCAGCCCGATAGGACGGATAGTTTTCGAGATATCGGCGCTCAAAGTAAGCTTTCCGATTTCATTGCCAATCGGTGCACTCCGGTAGGCTACTACGTCTCCATTTCCCAAAATTTCCAAATGTTCACCACAGATTCTTTCATTTCGACATCGAATTAGTTTATGTAAATTTTTTCAGATTGTTAATAGGTCAAATAAAAATTTTCATTTTCCCACCTAAGACTTCAGTACGATATAGTCACCGAGCTATCTTCGGACGGCAGAAAGTGCCTGCAACTTCAAATTTCATGTTGATAATTTCCTGATTTAATCATTATGTGATATCTTGAAAAACATATTGTATTATACACGGGAAAATTATTAGATTTTAGCTCACGGTTTTCGTGCACACCATGCGGTAAAAAAGACTAGGTCACCACACCCAAAATGTGTGCTCATCCATCAATAAGTCATGCAAACGTAACAAAACAAAACAAAAATGGAAAACTAGAACTGGACATAACTTTAAGTATGATGTAAATTGACGTATTTGTCATCTTAACTAGGTACGGACAAATCCTCGTCTCCTCTCACTCTAAAGTGTTTGTGAAAGAGTTATATAGTTCCATCCTCATTCATTTCTGGGGATAAACACTAGATTTCTGACATTTGTTGTTTTTTAGGTTATATTGAGGGCATTGGCGTATCATTCGTAACCTCCACATGTAATTTCTCATTCAATTCTACATATTATATCCAAATGATGATAATTCTCGAGTTTTTGATTTTTCAACAACAACATAATCTTTCTGAGGCAGTGAGCAAATTTTTCTGAAAGTTTAATACGTTTTACCGAATGGCGCTGTTCTTAGGCAGTACCTATCAGATCAGTAAATTAATTCTACTAAAATACATTCAAAAACTTGTGGATTGGATAATTATAGGAACAATGAGAAAGTATATGTGATTTCGTATTAGTTTCACCTCGGAATATTTTGCTGATGTATTTACCAATTTTCCCCATTCGGTCACTCTACTTTCCATGTTCTAAGTTCATGTGCATTTGATGGAAAGCTAACAAATTTAAATTTGCCATCCAACTGATTGATACAGCCTAAAGCAGCACATTTTACCATCCAAAACAGAATTGAATAAAGTCATATTAAGATAAAGTATGAAATTCAAGTTTTGTAAGATCTCTTTCAACGCCTATGAATGTGACGTGACAGCAATGTCATGTCAGGGACGCCAATACACGAAACCAAAGTCACTAGATGATGAAAAGAGAAAGGAGCTATGATCTGTCCGTACCCTGTTAGATGAAAAATACGTTTGCATGAAGGGACCCTAATTTAGGAACGTAACATTCCAAACAAAAGTCAAAATGGGCAAAATGAGGAGCAAAGCCACAGTCAGGCCCAACCAGAACCTGCTGCAACGCAGGCAATGTACCATATACGATCCCGAGTTCAAAAAAATCGTTGCTCTTTACGCCGAACAATACGGCACTGGTAAGGCTAAAAGTAAATTCAGCGTGAACGAATCTAACATCAGAAGATGGCGACGAGTTATAAAGAACGCCGGCATTGTGAATATTCTGGAAAAACCCCCGGAAAAACCGGGGCCAGTTGAAACTCCAGAGGAGCAACCAGCCTCGCAACCAGCGGCAGTCAAAGGCAAGAAAACTTCGAAAAACATTGTGAAGGCTGGTGGAGTCAAGAATGCTTTAGGTACTTTTCTCATCTATTAACTTACAGTGTACCTATCCTTATATTTTCCCAAGGGGTAAACCGCGGTGGAATTCTGGTGTACTAACAACTCGAATTCCTTGGAATTTCCTGGATTTCCTCAGAATTCCTTAGATTTCCTCAGAATTCCTTAGATTTCCTCAGAATTCCTTAGATTTCCTCAGAATTCCTTAGAATTCCTTAGATTTCCTTGGAATTCCATGGGTGAAGTGCGGTATATTCCTGGCCTACAAACCACTAAAATTTCTTGAAATTCACGGATTCCCTTGGAATTCTCTGGATTTCCTTGGAACTCCTTGGATTTACTTGGAATTCCTTGGAATTCGTTGGATTTCCTTAGAAATCTTTGGGCGAAGTGTGGCAGAATTCTGGTGTACAAACAACTGCAATTCCTTGGGATTTTCTTGGAATTCCTTGAATTTCCTTGGAATTCCTTGGGTGAATTGCGGTATATTCCTAGTCTACAAATACTGGAATTCCTTGAAATTCACAGATATCCTTGTAATTCCTTGAATTTCCTTGGAATTCTTTGTTGTAATTCCTTGAATTTCCTTGCATCTTCTTGGTATTCCTTGGTATTCCTTGGATTTCCTTGGAATTCCTTGGATTTCCTTGGGATTCCTGGGATATCCTTGGAATTCCTTGGATTTCCTTGGAAATCCTTTGGTGAAGTGCGGTTTATTCCTAGTCTACAAATTACTGGAATTCCTTGAAATCCGCAGATTTTCTTGGAACTCCTTGAATTTTCTTGGAATTATTTCGATTTCCTTGGAATTCCTTGAATTTCCTTGGAATTCCTTGGATTTCTTTGTAAATTCTTGGGTGATTTGCGGTATATTCCTAGTCTACAAATACTGGAATTCCTTGAAATTCACAGATTTCCTTGGAATTCCTCCTTGAATGTCCTTGGAATTCTTTGAATTTTCTTGTAATTCCTTGAATTTCCTTGGAATCCCTTGGATTTTCTTGGAATTCCTTGAATTTCTTTGGAATTCTTTGGGTGAAGTGTGGTATAAGTCTGGTGTACAAACAACTGCAATTCCTTGGATTTTCTTGGAATTCCTTGGATTTCCTTGGAAATCCTTGGTTGAAGTGCGGTATATTCCTAGTCTACAAACTACTGGAATTCCTTGAAATTCACAGATTTTCTTGGAATTCCATGAATTTCTTGGAATTCTTTGGATTTTCTTGGAATTCCTTGAATTTCCTTGGAATTCCTTGGATTTCCTTGAAATTCCTCGAAATTCCTTGGAATTCCTTAGAATTCCTTGGGTGAAGTGCAGAAGTACAGATTTCCTTGGAATCCTTTGGATTACTTTGGAATTCCTTTGATTTCCTTGAAATTCCTTGGATTTCTTTGGAATTCCTTAGATTTTTGAAATTCCTTGAAATTCCCTGGAATTCCTCGAAGTTTCTTGGAATCTCTTGTGTGAAGTGCAGTATAATTCTGATGTATAATAACTGAAATTCCTTGGAATTCTTTGTGAAATTGAAGTTTGGTGTACACAATTCTGACCGCGGTTTACCCCTCGTATTTTCCTAATTTGTTGCCGAATATTGAATTACATCTATTGAACACACACGATCAGAATTTGAAAACAAAATCTTCTGAAGTAGAGCATTTGCATTCTCCTTCATATAAAGATATGCACATATCATTCTGAATATTCAACAGAAAACAACTACTGCTTGGTTATTTGCCACGTCGAACATTGAATTATACAGTGTGTCCCACTTACCATGCTCACCATGGGTATCTTTTTAACGGTGAGATATACGAGGTCGGTTAAATGACACCAAATGTGGAGTTTGTCAAGGCCAACTATAATGTGAAAAAATATTTTGATAAAATCTATTCGTTTTTGTTTTATACGCAAAAAACAGATTTTGGTCATTTTCATGTCTCCTCCGTAACTTCTTTATCTATGAAAATATTCAAATAGGAATTTCACATTCTCATGGCAGTTTTTTAAAGTGATTTCGAAAAAAATATGAAATTCATACCAACTCTTCTAGAATTTGAGATATCAGCACCAACTTTAGTTTTTCAAATATAGGTCATAGCTCATTATGACTTAGTTACAAATAACTTTTTTTTTCTCTTACAGATGATATGTCGCAGTGATAGTTTTGTGATGATAACAACGGAGTTATCGTCATTTAAACAAAAACAAAGAATTATTTGGATCTTGAATTTGTAAATTTTAACAAAAAATCACGATCTCCGACCTCAACACCAATTTTGAATGGAATCGGACTAAATCTTGTCCGCCATCAATTTAAAAAAATGGCTGCTCCAAGATGGCGGACAAGATTTGATCCGATTCCATTCAAAATTGATAAGTGAGGGTTTTTGAGGTCGGAGATCATGATTTTCTTGTTAAAATTTATAAATTCAAGATGGCGGCGTCCAAATAATTTCTTGTTTTTGTATAAATGACGATAACTCTGTTGTTCAACACAAAACTATTACTGCGACATATCATCTGAAAGAGAAAAAAAAGTTATTTGTAACTAAGTCATAGTGAGCTATGACCTACATTTGAAAAACTAAAGATGGTGCTGATATCTCAAATTCTAAAAGAGTTGGTATAAATTTCATATTTTTTTCGAAATCACTTTGAAAAATTGCCAAGAGAATGTGAAATTCCTATTTGAATATTTTCATAAATAAAGAAGTTACGGAGGAGACATGAAAATGATCAAAATCTGTTTTTTGCGTATAAAACAAAAACGAATAGATTTTATCGAAATATTTTTTCACATTATAGTTGGCCTTGACAAACTCCACATTTGGTGTCATTTAACCGACCTCGTATCTCTCACCGTTAAAAAGATACCCATGGTGAGCATGGTAAGTGGGACACACTGTATATGTTGAATATCCAAAAAGAGATCATGAAAAATGAAAATCCTCTGAAAAAAATCTACTTGATATTTTCTTAAATATAAACACCTGGCAACACAGGAAAAGGGATCATGACGTCAGTACTCAGTACTGGATAGACGAGTTTGTCGCCGAACGCTGCTTGAACGTTCCATAAAATTGTAGGATATTCAAATGGTGTTTTTTGAAGTATGGCAGCATATTTTCAACAAAAAATTGAAACATAGAGAATTTGCATAATATGCAAAAAAAATCGAGAAAGGCGAAATAAACCTCCCACCCCCCACTCCCCCGTTATTTCCAGACTCCATGCCGCTGCAGCAGCGCCTCCAAGCGCCTCCCTCCACCACCGACCTGGAGCCGGTCCTGCACAGTCAGCCATTGTCGCCCACCAAGCTCAAGGTCACGCGGCACTCCAAACCAACCCCCTCTGCCTCTTTGCCACCCCCCACGCCGCCGCCTATTGTGGAGGAGATCAGCCTCAAGTGGAACGGCCACCATTCCAACATGCAGACTTCTTTTCCCGGTTTGTTGCTGCGGGAGCAGTATGTTGATGCGACGTTGGTGGCCGAAGGGCAGAGTTTGAAGTGTCACAGGGTGAGGAATTCAATTGGGATTTTTTCAAATTTTTTCTCAATTTTGACCCCTTTAAAAAAATTTCGGTACGCCCCTGAAGTTGCAATTTCTTCATCAACATCCAATTTTACAATTGCAATCTTGAACCCATCAGAAAAAATGGGTACGCCCCTGATTATCTAAGCCTTTAAGTTTCCGGTATTTCGTCCATTTTTCGAATGCTGTACCCCCAAAGAAATATTGATGCGCCCCTGATTCGTGTCCCGATTGCTAATTTCTATTTACACCCTATTTTCTTATTGTTTTGCAATTTTGACCTCCCCCAGAAAAAAATTGGTACGCCCCTGAAGTTGTTATTGCGTTATTTTTTTATCTCTCAATTTCATAATAGTTTCCCTATTTTGACTCAGAAAGCATATGAATATGCTCCTGATCATCCAAGCCCTTCAGTTTGCCGATTTTCCTCAATTTTTCAAGTGATTTTTTTTCTCAATTTTGACCCCTTAAAAAAATCATCGGTACGCCCCTGAAGTTGCAATATATTTGTCAATATAAAAGTTTACAATGTTTTTGCAATCTTGAACCCATCAGAAAAGATGGGTACGCCCCTGATCATCAAAGCCCTTCAGTTTCTGATATTTCTTCCATTTTTCGAATGCTGTACCCCCAAAGAAATATTGATGCGCCCCTGATTCGTGTCCTGATTGCTATTTTCTATCTACACCCAATTTTCCGATTTATTTCAATTTTGACCCTCTGAAAAAATGGGTGCGCCCCTGATTCACGTCTCGATTCCTATTTTCTATCTGCACCCAATTTTCACTTTTCTCTGCAATTTTGACCTCCCTCAGAAAAAAATTGGTACGCCCCTGAAGTCGTAATTGCGTTATTTTTTTATCTCTCAATTTCATAATAGTGTCCCTATTTTGACTCAGAAAGCATATGAATATGCTCCTGATCATCCAAGCCCTCAATTTGCCGATTTTTCTCAGTTTTTCAAATGATTTTTTTTTCAATTTTGACCCCTTAAAAAAATTATCGGTACGCCCCTGAAGTTGCAATATATCCATCAATATAGAAGTTTACAATATTTTTGCAATCTTGAACCCATCAGAAAAAATGGGTACGCCCCTGATCATCAAAGCCCTTCAGTTTCCGATATTTCTTCCATTTTTCGAATGCTGTACCCCCAAAGAAATATTGATGCGCCCCTGATTCGTGTCCCGATTGCTAATTTCTATTTACACCCTATTTCCCAATATATTTCAATTTTGACCCTCTGAAAAAATGGGTGCGCCCCTGATTCACGTCTCGATTCCTATTTTCTATCTGCACCCAATTTTCACTTTTTTTTGCAATTTTGACCTCCCTCAGAAAAAAATTGGTAAGCCCCTGAAGTTGTTATTGCGTTGATTTTTTATCTCTCAATTTCATAATAGTTCCCCTTTTTCTGTCTCAGAAAGCAGATGAATATGCTCCTGATCATCCAAGCCCTTCAATTTGCCGATTTTTCTCAATTTTTCATGATTTTTTTTCTCTCTCAATTTTGACCCCTTAAAAAAATTATCGGTACGCCCCTGAAGTTGCAATATATTTGTCAATATAAAAGTTTACAATGTTTTTGCAATCTTGAACCCATCAAAAAAAATGGGTACGCCTCTGATCATCAAAGCCCTTCAGTTTCCGATATTTCTTCCATTTTTCGAATGCTGTACCCCTAAAGAAATATTGATGCGCCCCTGATTCGTGTCCCGATTGCTAATTTCTATTTACACCCTATTTCCCGATTTATTTCAATTTTGACCCTCTAAAAAAATGGGTTCGCACCTGATTCGCGTCTCGATTCCTATTGTCTATCTGCACCCAATTTTCTTATTGTTTTGAAATTTTGACCCCCTCAGAAAAAAATTGGTACGCCCCTGGAATTTTTTATCGCGACTTTTTTTTTCATCTTCATCCAATTTTATAATAGTTTTCCAATTTTGACTCAGAAAGAAGATGAATATGCTCCTGATCATCCAAGCCCTTCAATTGCCGGTTTTTCTCAATTTTTCAAATGTTTGCCCCCTCAGGTATGCCCCTTAAATCGCGATTGCACACACAATTTTTCAATTTTCTCAATTTTGACACCCTCAGAAATAAAAATGGTCACGTTCCAGATCATAAAAACACAACTTTATGGATAATTTTTCAATTTTCCGGATGTTAGTCCCCTTAGAATAAATTGGGTGAGCCCCTGATCCGCGTCGCGATTGCTAATTTATATCTACTCCCAATTTTCTCCCCTATTTGTGGAGGAGAGCATGCAGAACATGCAGAGTTCCTCAATCAGTTTGTTGCTCAGTGAGCAATTTGAAATTACGACGCTAGGGCCGACTTTGAAGTGTTTTTTAAATTTGACCCCTAACAAAAAAAAACGGTACGCCCCAGAAATTGCTACTGCAATTTTCCATCTACAATCAATTTTACAATATTTTTCTTATAATGAACCCATCAGAAAAAAATGGGTACGCCCCTGATAATTAAAGCCCTTCAGTTTTAAAATTTTATGTGCCCCTGATTCGTGTCCCGATTGACTTTTTTCCAATATTGAAACCCACAGAAAACAATGGGTACGCCACTGATCATTCGATTCCTTCAATTTCCGATATTTCATCAATTCTTCAAATTTTGGCCATTTTAATTTTGGCGATTGCGATTTCCGTTGCGTTTTGAAATGGTTTTAATTTTAGCCCCTTCGGAAGAAAAGGTGTCTACGCTTATGAAATCCCGATTGCTAGATTCTACCCAAAACCAATTTTCCAATTCTTTTTCTCAATTCTGTCTCCTTAAAAAAACAGTATGCCACTGAAGTCCTGGTTGCGATTTTCTATCAACATTCAATTTGAGATATTTTTCCAATATCGGCCCGTGAGAAATTGAAATATACGCTCCTAAAATCGGATCGCTACTCGCCTACAGCCAATTTTATTATTTTTTTTTTTACAACTTTGAACCCTTCAAAAACATTGGTACGACACTGAAGTTGCCATTGTGATTCTACGTCCAATTTCACAGTATTTTTCTGATTTTGACACACGATACTTTTGTATCTACATGAAATTCTTCATGTTTTCTCTATTTTGATACCATTAAAACTAAATTGGGATTCCAAAAGAAGAAACAACGTGACACAAAGTCTGTCGACTACAATATTTAATATAACAAAATCTACGTGTGTTACCATAGTTTCGGCCATCTTCAGACACAATGCAACAGAGAGTACCTAGAAAATTACAAAGTTCTTAAATCCAAAACAACATGGTAGCTAAGGAGGAGTTGATTTACCACTTTTTCATTTTCTACAATAGGTATGTGGATTCTTTCTCAGCTACCATTTTGTTTTAGATTTAAGAACTTTGTAATTTTCTAGGTACTTTCTGTTGCATTGTCTGAAGAAACTATAGTAAGACACATTGATTTTTTTGTTTTTTTCTTTCATATCAAATATGGTGGTCGACCGACTTTGAGTCGAGGTTTTTCTCCTTTTGAAAAATACTGGACCACTTATAGTATGGATGGTTTCTATGATCTGAATTGAGATTAGTGGGAATATCCTGAAGTCGCAATTGCGATTTTCTATCTAAATCCAATACTCCATATTTTTTAATTTCACCTCTTTCATGAATATTTATCTTGTTTCCTTTATGGAGAGTTTTTTTTTTCAGGTTATTCTTTCATCCTGTAGCACCTATTTTGAAGAAGTCCTTGCCAGTATCAGCCCCTATCAACACCCAGTGCTCTTCATGAAGGATATCCCATTCTGGATCCTGAAATCCCTGTGCGATTACATGTACGCTGGAGAAGTCCACATTCTTCAAACAAAACTGCAAGAGCTCTTGACAGCTGCAGAGAATTTAAAAGTAAGACGTGTGTAGCAGGTGGTCTCTAGAAAATAATATGAACTCTCTATAACCTCTGGAAAGTTATATACAGGGTGTTGCGAAATTCGACCAACAACGCTTGACAGGTGATAGTCCTCGTGATTTCATAAGCACTGAGATATGGTCATTAGGTCTTCAAGTGTTCAGTTCTAGAGATACAGGGCGTTGAAGTTGGGAAATTCAAATAGTTTTTTCGCAATATCTCAAGAAAAATTGAATATAATGCATTCAAATTCGGTATGGTTTCATCTTTCAATGGTTAATTTTTTGAACAGAAAGACATTCCGAGAATTTTATCCAGAGGTGCGCTACAGAGGGTTGTGATAACTTTTCCTCACATACACACAATGGCACAATTAGGGGAACGGGTAAATTTTACACTAAGTTTGACATCAATTTTCTCTCGAACCGATCACTCGATTCAACTTTATTTTTCACGAATTGTAGCTTCATTCTTCACGAATACATCTGAGAAATGACCACCTGCAAACGATTCGTCTTTATATCATATACAGGGGTGCAAAGAAAGTACGGATTTTTCGGTATTTTTTAAGACATCCTGTGGAGTAAACCACAGATAATTGAAACGATTTTCCAACACCAAATTATAGCCCAATCTATCCCTAATATTTTCGTTCTTTATTCATCTTGATGTCCCAATTATCCAGGAAAATATTGAGTTTCAAAGAAGAGGTGGATATTGGTATTAATTTTACCACCTCGAAACTCGAACTGGGGAGAACGTGTCGTTTTTCAACTTGTTTCTGTGAGGATTTTTACTTCAAGATGGGAATTGTTCACAGTTTTACCTATCGGTTTACTGTTTAAAGACACATATACGAAAGCTCTCATGGATATGCAGGGGTGATAAAAGTTGCTCCAATGTTCTTTTGGTGAAATGCTATTTTTGTTAATCAACGTTGGCTATTTTGTTAATGTCATCAATTATTGTTAAAGTCAAGCGATTCACAATTCATAAATTTGATTTGACTCCTAATGATGTGGCGAGGGCTGTAGCATTAATTGAAAATGACCAGTGGGCCAATGTTCTTTTGACATATGAGAGCCGCATCTGCACCAATTCAATAGATGGCAGGGAAATACTATATCGCCGAGGTGAACAAAATGAACAATTTGATTTTACTGCTTCTGTCTCCCACGGCAGAGGTTTAGTCATGGTTAGGTTAGGTTAGTCAAGAAACGACACATTTTCAGATCCAATTTGAGTTTTGAGGTGTAAAATTGATACCAATATCCACCTTTCCTTTGAAACTCTGTATTTTCTTGAATAATTGAGATATCAAGATGAATAAAAAACGAAAATATTCACACTAGATTGGGCTCCAATTTGGTGTTGAGAAATCGTTTCAATTATCAGTGGTTCAGTCCACAGGATGTCTAAAAAAATACCGAAAAATCCGTACTTTCTTTACACCCCTGAATATGATGGAAAGACTCATCGTTTGAAGGTAATTATTTCTCAGATGTATTCGTGAAGAATGAAGCTACATTTCGTGAAGAAAAAAATTTGAATCGAGCGATTGGTTCGAAAGAAAATTGATGTCAAACTTAGTGTAAGTTTTGCCCGTTCCCCTAATTGTGCCAGTGTGTGTATTTTCTACGCCACTGATGAAATGTCAATCTTCTATTTTGGGTCGAATATCTCAGAAACTGTTCATTTCAGCTCAGTTGAAGGTCATGTATTTTTTCAACAAAATTGAACAATGAATTCGGGGAATTGGAAAAAATTGCCACAACCCCTTGTAGGGCACCACTGGATGAAATGTCCGGAATGGCTTCCTGGACAAAAAATGACCCGTTCAAAGATGAAACCATATACCGAAGTTGAATGCATTATATTCAATTTTTTTCGAGATATTGCGAAACAACTATTTTTATTTCTCAACTTTAACGCCCTGTATCTCGAGAACTGAACACTTAAAGACCGTATGTCCCTATCTCAGTGATTATGAAATCAAGCGGACTATCACCTGTCAAGCGTTGTCGGTCGAATTTCGCAACACCCTGTATATTTTTCTCATTATTGATATTCCAAAATGCCTGAGATTATACATGATTCCGCACCCTGTACATATGGTTCCAGATAAAGGGCCTGACTGAGAACCCAGCACCTGATCCAGCAGTGAAAACAGAACCGCAGGATTTCATAAAGGAAGAAAAGAAAGACGAGGAAGAAGTGAAGAAGAAGGAAGAAAAAGACCCGAGAAAGAAAGAAGAAACAAGGAAGAAGGAAGAACGAGAGGTGAAGAAGAAAGAGGAGGTGAAGAAGAAGGAGGAAGTGAAAGAGGTGAAAGATAAAAAGAGAAATCAGGTCACCCCTCCACCTGATATGCCGGTGTTAAAGAGCGCCAAACTGTCAAAAGTGACGCAACACACTGAAATGCCCAATCTGTCAAGGAACGCTAAAGGCTCGAGGGCCGGAGTTTCACGAAGGACAGCGAAGAGGGCCGAAAAAGTCGAGATTGCACCCAAAGAACCTAGCAGCTTGTTCCTGGATCCGTTGGACTTGCTGGAACCTGTTTACGAGGAGGTTACCAAGGAACCTTCCAACACCAGCACCCCTAAAGAAACGAAAACTGTTCCTGTCAGAAGGAGTTTTCCTAAAAAGCTCAAGAAGAGGAAGATTACTAGCGACAGAGAAGAAGTAAGTGTACAGGATCATTCACGTCGAGATTTCGTTGAGAATAAAGCCATTTAAACAACTTGTTTATCATCAAAACTATGGTTTTTTCAAAAACTGTATCCTATGTTCATGAACATTTCAACAATTTAACTTGTTTCTTGTTTTTGAAGCTAAAAATTACCGACGCGGACATTACCGTTACCACCGATACAACAAGGCCTGCATGCTCCGTGGGTGACGTCACTTAGTCAGGCCTAACCAGCGGCTCGAAACGACAAGCGCTTATAGCGCTATAAGGCGACCGCGTATTTCGATTTTAGTTTTAGATCATCATTGAGCCGATTTTGCTGTTTTTTGAAGGGCTTCCGGTTAAAAAAGGATGCCAGTCGTCAACTGAGCCCTTCTTCGCACCCCATTCGATTTTATTATGGAAAAACGAAGTTTTAAAGCAAAAACCAGGATAAAACACAAATATCCACCTACAGCAACCCATTCGAATTAAATATATTGGCAAAAATTGTGGTTAAGGTAAACTTCACACCTACTTATACAGGGCCCGCAGAACATAAACTTATCGTGAGATTGATCGAAAGAAAATTGTGGAAAATGTATTTTATTTTGATTGACATGCCGTTTGTTACAATTACCTATATTTATCTTGGAGAATTCCTATTACCTGAAAAAATAACCAGTGAGTGTTTTCAATTTTCTGTTGTTGGATTTTTCACCCAAGTGGATCGTTACACTTGAAACCGTAATTTTTAAGGGTAAAACTGCATTTATCATGCGATGGTTTTTTTTTTTGAAAATTTTTGTCGGTACTCACGTATTTTTGTCTGACAAACCGAATTTTATGATGAAAATGTGAACAAACAACTATTTATTGAGGTATTTCCAGAAAAAGTTCGAAATTTCGCCTTCTTTCTTCCCTTGTGTTGGGGGCATTTGAAGCTACTTGCTCTTATTTTGTCATTGGACACTTTATATACTCATGATGTACTTCGATGGCACATTTTTATATAGAAAATTCAACAGGAAATATGATTTTTATGGCGAGTTTTTTATATTTTTATAGTAGATTTGGCCTTCCCAAAATGTCCCGACTATGTAATAATATGACAAGTCCTGAATGCACACGCTCCATTGATATAGATCCATAGATTCGCCAGGGTGTAAAGAATAGTGAGCTTTAATGGTCACTTTCATGGTTGGACTATCAGACGAAAATATGTCCTGCAATTCTAATTACTATAGCTATAGAAAAAAATAGAATCATACACAAAACATTTCAATGCATACATTTTCAAATTGTGAGAATAATCAATAAATTTACAATTTTTTGATGGCGGCTGTCAGCATTACGAGAAAAAAATTCATTATATTCTAGTATTTTCTTCTGAAGTCTTTTCTTTCTCAACTTTTGGAAACTTTCTGTACCTGGACAAACAGGTCAAATTTTAGATTCGGATTTTGAGTTCAATTTTCTGGCTGCTGATGAAAGCTCTTCCACTAATTTCTTATACATATATTATCTAGGAATGAGAACCTATTTTACACTCATATTATCAGTCCTTCATTGTCTACACTATATTTCGTAATAGTCATTTTCAAATAACTTATGAATATCTATCCATCAAACCCGAGACCAAACCATAAAAACAACACGAAATCATAACCTTATCTTATCTCACCTCACTCCTGTACCCCGTGCAATCAAAAAGATCGTTTATGCCGTAACCCGGTTCTGACGTTTTTTTTTTTCTCAAAATATCAACTTCCCACGAATCTAATCGTGAATAACGCTGCTCAAAGTTGTTTAGCTCAATGATTCTAACAATGTATGTCGTATTCCAGTCTCCACAGCCAGTTCTATCGAAAAAAGGCACCAGATCTCGCCCTAACCGAAAAGTCCCCAAATTCTACCACTCCAACTTCGACAATTCGACAATCGTAAGGGAACCCCACACGGACCAAGCAGACCCGCTGATGCAGCTGCAAGAAATCAAATCGGAGCCCCTTTATCTGGAAGAAAACACCATCGAAATCGAAGACAATCTAGTCGGCTTCAGCGAACAAGACATCGCCATCGAAGAAGAAATCATGGGAGATTATGACAGCCCCATAGTCAATTTTACCAGGGGCAAAACCGAAGAGGTCGATTTAGGTTCACAACCCATTATCGAGGGTAAAACAGAGAACACTTTGAAGATCGTTAATGTCGAAGATATAAGAGGAGCCACCTGTCATAAGAGCGTTTATTCTGCAGAAGAAGATCCACTTCAAGTGCAGAATGTTATCGAAAGCAATGAAAATTCCTTGGGGTTTCGTATCAGTGAGGTGGTGACTGAAAAGGAATATTGCAGGGCAGCGGATGCCTACAAAGACTTGGGGTTCCAGATTACCAATGTAGTGAGTGAGAAAGAAAATGGCACTGGCGTAGAAGAAGAAACTAGGGCATGTAGTGAAATTGCTTTCCGAATTTCCAATGTACAAACTGAAGTGGAAGAATCTGCAGAAGATATTAAAGGAAATGAAGATGAGAGTTGTGCCAGCGGACACCAAGAACTGAAGGTTGTAAAGGAACATTTTGGGAATACTGAAAAAGAAGTGCCAAAAGAAATCCAGGAACATTCCGAAAACCTTCTAGATGATGGAATGAAAGACACAAGTCTGCATAGTACTCCCTTGGAAGCAAGTGAAAAGGATGATGAAACTCCAGCATTTATAGGCTTCCAAAATACTGATGTCCAAAGCACACTGAATGATCCGGAGAAAATGGAGGTAGATGAAGATTCAGAGATGATAGCTACTGAAGATAGTTTTCAAGTTGAAGAACAACATGAAATTTCCACTGGAAATATGGAGGAAAATCCGTGTTCAACAATGGACATAGATAATGTTGAGAGTAATAGTTTGGAAAACTTTGCTGATGCACCAGAAGGCCAGACTGAAACAGAAATGGAACTTGGAGATATAATGACAGATACTTCGACACAGCAAGAAAGGATATCCAGTGAAGATTCGTCCCAATGCCCCAAGGACTCTAATCTTACTTTCTCACAAAGTCAACCCACATGGGAAATGACAGAGTATGGTTGTAATGTCAGTTTAGCAAGTGTTGAAACTCCTGACGAACCTAAGGATATCACTCCAGTTGAGGCTGAAGTTAACCTCACAGAGTTTGGCTGTCATAGCAACTCTGAGTGTATGGAAAATCCTGCACAGTTGAGGCCCACAGAACTAGAGTGTTCAAAAACTCCTGAGGAACCTTCAGATAGTAGTCCAAGTGAGGCTGAATCCAACTCAGCTGACTTTGGTTGTGCTAAGAATACCACAGAACCAGACTGTCCTGAAGCTCCTCAGGAATCTCCAGATATTAGTACAAATGAGGCTAACCTCAACTCAGGCTTTGGCTGTCATAACAACCCAGAGTGTATTGAAAATCCTGCAGAACCAAATTGTTCTGAAATTCCTAAGGAACCTCCAGATATCCAACCAAATGCAGCTAAGCTTATCTCAACAGATTATATTGAGAATCCTACAGAACTTAGGCCCACAGAACCAGGTAGCTCTGAAACACCTGCCGAACCAAATGAAGAATTAATCACAACAGAGTTTGGTTGTCATAGCAACCCAGAGTATACAGAACTGAGGTCCAAAGAACCAGAGCCAGAGGGCTTTGCAACACATAAAGAACCAAATGAGGACGAATCCAACTCAACACAGTCTGGTTGTCATAGCAACCCAGAATACGTTGAAAATCCTACAGAACTAAGGCCCACAGAATCACAGTGTTCTGAACCTCTCGATATCTGTCCAAGTGACAATCAATTCGGCTCAACAGAATTTGGTTGTCATAGTGACCCAGGATATGTTGAAAATCCTACAGAACTGACGCCCACAGACCCACAGATTTCTGAACCTCTTGATAGCAGTCCAAATGACAATGAACTCGACTCTACAGAGTCTGGTTGTCATAGCAACCTAGGATATGTTGAAGATCCTACAGAACTGAAGCCCACAGAACCAGAACTCCCTGTGATCTCTCCAACAGAGTTCGGTTGTCATAGCAACCGAGAGAGTATGGAAAACCCTGCAGAGCTGAGGCCTACAGAACCAGAACCGGAATTTATCAATCCTACTGGGTCTAGGGCGATTGAGGAGAAAATGGACTTCTTCTCCTCCGATGAGTGTCTACAGGGGTTTTCGCCGGACGAACCGGGTTTCCACATTGCGCAGCTCGCCATAGAGCAAATCGCTCAGAACGAGGAGGAACACAGGCTTCGGGAGGTGGAGAAGAAGAGCAGCAGCTCGACCAGCAATGATTTGGAGACGATCGTGAACGATCTGACGAAAATTGTTGGAGGGTCGGGATCTGCGGGCGAAGAAGAAGACTCTAGTGCCATAGCCGAGTCTCTTGAGAATCTCCTGAACGAGTAAGTAGGTATTTGTATGGACTTTATTGTGACAGTGTACAGGGTCTCCCTCGTTTTTGGACTAGATGGGGGACTAGAATAGCATGTGATTTCCAAGGAATGCAAATCTAGGATTTCACGGTGATTTTTCAATGATAACAAACTAACCTCCATATCATCATACCAAATGCTCTTTTTAGCAGCCACGTCGTTTAAATTGGATTTTTCTTCAAGATTTTGTTGAGTTCAATCAAAATCCTTTATTTGGCTTCCATTAATTCACAGGTTTTGTAATCTAGGATGTTGTAGTATTCATTCATGAAAAATGTCTCTTATCACAACATCAGTGAAGAAATTCTTGTCAAAGAATCAGTAATCCTGCATGAACAGAATGAGAAAATTGAGCTGAAACTCGTAGATAATGATTCAATAGTTTCAAAGAGTATCAATGAATACACAAGTAAGTCAAAAATTAGGTAATGAATATTGGAATCATTGAAGGGAGTATTTAGTGGCATACTCAAAAAAATCTTCTGACACAGATTCGCTTCTCTATATAGGGATCTCGGCTCCTATTATATAGGGGGTTTCCGAAATTGGGGAGATCAATGAAATGGATTATTGGAAACGAAATGAAAGAATGCATTTTTGGCAAAAAAAAATATTTTGGAAGATATTGAGCTTCAAAGTTTGCCTGAAACTTGTAAATCATTGATGAGAGGTCAATAGGCCAACTCAAGCGTTGGCTTTCGGCGAAATCACAAGAACCGACTTTTGCAATGTTGCCAGATGGTCAATGATAGTTGAAAGATGTAGTATGACGAGAGCGCACATTTTATGAAAAAATTTCATAACCATTTTTTCTTGTGATTTATCATTCTGGGACACACTGTATGCTAGTCGATTTTTTTGTTGGTTCTTTGGTAATGTTTCTTTCATCTCCTGTCGTATTTTATCTTTCTTGATTTCGAATCGTTGGAAGTTCTTGCATTATTTTTTGCAAAATCCAGTGTAAGCGCCATGTTATTTATTTTGAAAAATTGCGATAAAAAATCGATATGATAATACTGATGAAAATAAGAAAAAATGATTATATCAGCATGTGTCCGAATATCCTACCTGAGGGAGCTAGAGCCCTAGACCTAGAGAGTAAATTTCTCAACAACAATTCAACATCACGATCAAATTCTAATAAAACAAAACTAAATGGAAATGTGAAATTTTAATTATCGTTCTAAGTTTTTTATTATTGGAGCTCACATGCTCAAAATGATTGTGAATTTTTTCGTACAGGGTGTCTCACTTAAATGTGCCACTCCGCCTTTATCATCGTAATTCTCAGCTTCATTCAAAAACTCTTCAGGAATTATTTTTTTTTTGGAAACTTAACTCATTTCTTCTTCATTTCGACAAAATACAGGGTGGCCGAGAACAATTTTTTCTCCAAATGAAATGATCAAAATTTTATTCGATAATATGTTATTTCTGAATGCAGATTGACGAGCTTTATCGGATTATGGAAAAAATATAAATCATTTCTATGAAAAAACAAATTCTTCGGGGCCTCCCTGTATATTGTTGATATAAAATAAAAGTGAGCACAGATTCAAAAACTTCGTGAAAAATTATTCCAGAAAACTTTTTGAATAACCAAAATATGATGAGAATTAAGAGAATAAAGTGGGACACCCTGTACATCAAAATGAAAAATTACACTCTCGAAAACGGTTCGATTTACAGCATTCTAAGAAGAATATTTTTTTCGTATGAAAAAGTTTGAAGAAAATCATATTCTGGTAGTAGAATTGAGATAAATCTAGAAACAACCTTCCTGTAAATCAAATAATGTTTTTCGTACCGCAAAATGATTTCTAAGACCAAATTTCGTGTTTCTAGGATCAATGATAACAAAGATAATTGAATAAAACTGCATTTAAGGACGCATTTTCGATAGAAACATTTTTTTCTTATTTTTATCTGCAAAATGATGTCCCGGAGTATTCGAACGTTATTCTGGGACACCCTGTATACTACTGGATATATGCTACTGAGCTTCTGCATTTGATAACTACATTTGGCCAGAAGAGCAAGTGGTTGCAAAGGCATTGAATATTTCATAAATAATATAAGTCGTATATTTATCATGTGTAAGTAAACTGAAATGTATATTTCAAATTTGAAATTGCATTTTTGCAAATATGTATGGTTGTATATAGATATATTCGGAATATTTTCAAATGGATTATGTTGAGATTTTCGGATATTATTTTTAATGAATCCTCATTATTGTGACTACGCCATATTATAATGAACGAAATCAACACCCACTTATAGGCAGGTAAACCAGAGTGAAATTCTAGTTGAATGTCTTGCACAGTGTTGCCAGGTGTGATGATTTATCGCATTAACGGCTGCTTTTTTGGTGAAATGCGACATTAAATTAAATTTGGCGACTGGCGAAATTTTGAAATTGTGAAATTTTCCACTTTATGGATGGTTCCCAATTCATTGAGATTGAAGAAAAAATCATTAATTTGCATATTTTTCTTTCACGGCAGGGATGGATATACAGGGTAACTCACGGTCCATGGTACGTTAGACGTTTACGGAGAACGGGACATAGGATCATTCTGAAAGTTTGGTTACTCACGTAGTTGCTCTCGGTCTATCGATCTAAAATATTTTCAGCTCTGCGGCGTTGCCGCTTCTATCGAAAAGTAGCAACAACTTTGTTATGTTAAATGGAACACCATGTATTTTATTGCATTTTCAGATTCTCTCTGAAGAGCTGATTTCATCGATGCATCACACTTGGGGTCTAGCGGAAATGATTACAGAGATATAGGGTGTGAAAAATCGACATTTTTCAACTTTAGGAATTTTTTTGTCGAAACTAATCATTATTGGTCAAAACGGCTTACATGTCCCTATCTCAACTTTTGATTAACTATCTACTGATATTTAATTGGGACATATACCGGGTGATCAAGATTCTGAATTCTGCACCACCCTGTATTTGTTTCAATTAAATGTCAGTAGATAGTTGATCAAAAGTTGAGATAGGGACATGTGAGCCGTTTTGACCAATAATGAATAGTTTCGACAAAAAAAATACCCAAAGTTGAAAAATGACGATTTTTCACACCCTATATCTCTGTAATCATTTTCGCTAGACCCCAAGTATGATGCATCGATGGAATCAGCTCTTCAGAGAGAATCTGAAAATGTAATAAAATACAGGGTGTTCCATTCAAAATAACAAAGTTGTTGCTACTTTTCGATAGAAGCGGCAACGCCGCAGAGCTGAAAATATTTTAGATCGATAGACCAAGAGCAACTACGTGAGTAAGCAAAATTTCAGAATGATCCTATGTCCCGTTCTCCATAAACGTCTAACGTACCATCGACCGTGAGTTACCCTGTATAGTAATATGTTTCCTCATCGTTATGGTATTACCTACGTCAGTTACAGTTTTGTTGCAGTTCACTCCCCTACTTGCTCTAAAGGAAAATATTAATTCGATCGATCGATGCAATTTCTTGAAAAGTTACATTTCTCATGAGGATAATGTGACTATTCCAATTTTCCTGAAATTCTGCAATTTTCTGGAGCCTGGCAACACTGGCCTTGCAATTTCTAGAATTCACTAGACATTTCAAAACGTCTATTCGGAAATGTATTTGGCATTTCTTGTAACTGTATGCGTTCATTACGTGATTATGACTCGAATAAATTTGTGGAAAAAAGTTTAAATGTATAGTGTGAATATTATTTTCATCCCGTATAAATCAGATAAATTCTTCACAATATACAAAAATCATAGTTGTATGTATCATAAAAGGCTGTGATTCAGTCAGGATTATTTATTATTTATTTACTTGTTTTATATTACTTTTTCAAACAATAGTAGAAAACGTATTTCACCATATACATCACCAACATTTGGTGGCGGCCATAAAACGACAGGTAATGTCATCATAAGCTGAATAAACAATTAATGCATCACTTTGTGGACGCACTGTATTGAAATCAAGTCGATAGTTTTACAAAGACGATACAGTGCAGACTCGATAATCCGAACTAATAAAAACCAAGGCGATTCGGATTACCAAAAAATTCGGATTACCGAAGCAGTTTTTTTTTTTTTTATTACGAAATGCAAAAAAAAACATAAATACGAAAAAGTAACACTAAAATATGCATAAAAGTAATAATATAATACTAGTTTCTAAAGTAATTTGTAATTTTTGTTTGCTTAACACATCTTTGATTATTTATAAAGGCCATTTCTTTTAATCTGTGAAGTAAAAGAATATCATTTGACGGAATATTATTTTCTTCCTTGCGTTATGTGAATCCCAGATACTAACAAAAGAACAATTAGGGGAATCCCTGAACATTTCACTCACAATTTCTATAGGAAATAAATAGGCCTAAAGGTATAGGTTCGGATTATCGAGTACTATGAAATTCGGATTATAGAGTACTCAATGTATTAAAAATGCTTGTTCGGACTACTGAAGAATTCGGATTATTGAACGTTCGGATTATCGAGTCTTGCGTTACTGATATACAGGGTGTCCCAACATTGCAGGGACACAGAGCTACCACGTGTAATACAAGTCAAAATAAGTTGAGTGGACCCAATTTATTTACATAAAAAATGTACCGTTTGTACGTGAGACGAGTTCAAAGCTAACTTGAAAAAAAAAACCATTTTGGTACACTGTTCAAAAATGAGTGAACCAAATCAGATGAAATTTGACAAAAATGCATTTCAGAGGATTTTACTAGGAATATCTGTTAGCTTTATTCAAGAAAACATTTTTTCCTTTGGAACTATGCGAAATACGAAATTTTCAGATCAACAAAATGAAGATGATTAATCAAGAATCTCGCTCAAGAAATTTGAGAACCCTATTACCACCCCTAAGAATTTTCTGAAAAAAACGTCAGGGGGTGAGCGTGGTTTCAACCCTTCTACAATCTCTTTCACGTTTCTTCAATAACTCTTAGAAGGGTTA